CCGCCGAGACCTTTGGGCCCCGTCCATCAGCCTCTTGCCACCGGCTGCACCCAGGGGCCCAAAGCCGGAGCCCGGGAGGCCGGCGCCGTCCCTGGGGTGTAAAGCCACAGCCACAGTTAGAAGGCGGCCCTGCCCACGAGGCCCGAAGCCTCAGCCCAGCCTGAGCGGCACCGGCCACGGGGCCTAAAGCCACAGCCGGAGAGCCCGGCGCCAGCTTTGGGGCCTGAAGCTGCAGCCACGGCCAGGCAGGCTAGCATTGGCCCCGAGGCCCGAAGTCACAGCCAAGGGGTAGCGGCAGCCCCAGCGCCCGAAGTCACAGCCCGAGAGGCCGGCACTGGCCTGAGTAAGGAAAGGACAGTAAAAGGATGAACTCCTGTTTAGGAATGTCGGTAAGCAGGATGTGTGGTCAGATAAGAAAAGGACACCTGGAAACTCTGCTGCGGCACTACACAAGGAATGGGTCAGGATGGGGTCACTGCTGCCAGAGACAGGGGGTCTTCTCCCGTGCAAAGGAGACCCCACTGCTCACGGCGGGGCCGCATGTCGATAAGTCAGGAATGTAATGGATATGCACGTGAGTTCCACTGACTGTGTGTATCTGTACCAAGCTTCTTCCTTACAGGGTGCAAGCTTGGAGGAGCTCTCCCCCTTGCACCCAGCTTGGCGCCAAATGCTGAATAAAACATACTGCTTTATAACCTGACTCTGGGCTGTAGAGTTTGATTCCACCAGTCAGGCCCCGGGGCCTGAAGCCCCAGCCACGGCACGAGGGGCCAGCAGCAGCCCGGGGCCTGAAGCCACAGCCGGAGAGGCCAGCGCCCGGCATGCGCTGTGCACTCCCATTGGTTTCTGCTGATTCTATGGGACTGCATTGACCGCTACCAGGCTGTGCTGGTCCCTCCTGTTTTTTATGGGCGCATACTGATCTGTGCTCCTATGGTTCCCATGGGTCTCTGCTGACCACCAGGAGTCCATCCTGGTCTCCTCCGGTCCGTACGGGTGTGCGCTCCTTCTGGATCCTACGAGATCCTCCGGGACTCCCCTGGCCGCTGGGAGGCCGTGCCGCTCATTACCGGTGTTTACTGGGCTGCTCGAGAGCCCGAGACCAACCCCGATCCCAACCTGGCGTCCCCACAGCAGCTCTCGGTACAGCCCCTGCCCCACACATCCCCATGAAGGGGGCTTCCTCCTGGTGCCGTCCCCCCACTCTGCGGAGTGCTGCCCACGGAGGTCGGTCTGCTCCCGTCCCTGCTTCCTTCAGAGCAGGACCTGGACGCCGGCCTTTACTCCAAGGCGGGTGCCGGGGGAGCTGCGGAACCCCCCTGCCTCGCAGGACAGGGTCTCGCCACGCATCCCCCCCCCCCTCTGTCTGTCCTGCAGACTCTCAGGGCTCTGGATGAGATGCTGCACACGTTGATGTTCGTCCGCCCCACTGCCAGCATCGAAGAGAGCTGCAAAGCATCTTCCAGGTAAGCTGTGCTCGCGGGGCCGCACCAAGGAGGGCTGTTCATCCCCATCCCCACCACCCCAAAAACCTTCTGGGCTGATCCGGGGGGCCGCAGGCCGGAGCCGCGGCTCCTCTTCCCGCAGGTGCTGCTGCCCTTCACCTCCGCGCAGAACTCAGCCGCACGCCAGAGGGCAGCGGGGCGCACCTGGAAGCTGAGCCATTCGCCGGCGCATCACTGCCAGGAAAGGGCGAGGGCGCAAACCCCGTGGCGCGGGGTCTTTGTCCCTCCTTTCCCCCTCTGCCCACCCCGGGGGGAGCTCACCGTTCCGCTCTCCACGCGCACCCCGTCACTCCTTGGGCCGATCCGGATCCGTCCGCTACAGAGAGCTCCGCCTGCGCGCGGCAGGGCGGCCGGTGGGAAAGGAAGGGGAAAGGAAGGGAGAGCCTCCTAGCCCCATATCCCGCTGTCGCCCACCCTACAGCCCCGCATCACCCCATGACCCCACACAGGACCGGAATGAGAGCCGACAGCCGTGACACCGCAGTCCCACAGCCTTCCAGCGCTCCGTCCCGAAGGAGAACCTCCTGGCCCAGCAGGTCCACTGAGCGCCCCGTGTTCTGCGGAACGGCGACAAGCCCGGCACGGCGCTGCCGAGCGCACGCTGCCCGCACTGAGCTGCCCGCACTGAGCTGCCCGAGCGCGGGCCTCCGAACGCCCAGCACACGGCGCCCCATCCCGCCCCTGCTGACAGCCGGGCGCAGCAGCCTTACTGCAGCTCGTGGGTGTCGGACGCCACGCCGGACAGGCGGCGCATCCCCTGCGCCCCGCCGTGCCGCTCCGTGCGTCCAGCGCCGCTCTGCGGGGCCTGGGGGACTACGGAACACGTGCCAGCGGTCAGTGGAGCTCCTTATTCAAGGCCTGGCCCGGGCTGCGCCCTTCTCACGTCCCACCCACTGAGCGCAGAGCCTGTAAGGAAGAACTGCTGGGTTCTTCCTTGGAGGAGCAAGCTGCCGGAGATGTCACTGCAGGTTCTGGTGCAGAAGCTGGACAGAGATGTGTGCTTGGGGGGCCTTGTTTCGGTGGGGCTTTGCACGGATTTGGCAGGAACCGTCCATTTCCGAAGGGAAGTTGGAAAAAAAAGACCACTAAACCAACACAGTGGTAGAGCGAGGACGTGTCCCGTGTGCGGCTGTCCTCAGAATTCCCATTTGAGAGCTCTGGTCACCCAAAGCCCTCTGGCTCATCTCAGACCCTTCCGGAAGACAACAGGACCCTTTGAACCCACCTCAGGACTGCCTAGACCCAACAAGTCCTCTCTGGGACATCCCCAGAGCCTTCTCAATGAATCCAAGGATACCCCAGACCTACCTGGAAACTCACCTGGACCCTGCAGGATCCTTCTGGGACATCTCCAGCCCCTTCTGGATTAATCCAAGCACCCCCTGGATCAATGTGAGGAGCCCCTGCACCTACAAGAGCTCTCTGGGACATCCCCAGGTCCTTCTGGATGACTCCGGGACCACGCAGACCCACGTGAGGACTCCCTGAACCACAGCAGACTCCACTGGGACATCTCCAGATCACGCCAGTGTCTCCTCAGAGCTCCTGGGCCCAGACTGGGTGCTTCCAGATTCTTCCCAGGTCCCCCCCCAAGACCCCCCTGGGACACCTCCAGACCCTTCTGGCTGAGTCCAAGGACTTTCGGGATCCACCTGGGGACACCCCGGCTGCCACCAGACCCTTCTGGGACATCTCCAGACCCTTCTGATGACTCCAGTGCTGGGCGGGGGGGTCGTGGGGGGAAGAAAAGGGTTGGTGGGGCTTCTGTGGGGTGGAATGGGGGTCTGAAGATGGAGGGAGGGCTGGAAGGGAGAAACGGAGGGGTTCATAGAATCATAGAATTACTTGGCTTGGAAGGGACCTCAAGGATCATCCAGTCCCACCGCAGCCTGGCCGTGGTGCCCAGCTCTAAGAACGCGCCATACGTCACGTCTCCGAGCACTACGACCAAACGGCTCTTAAGCACGTCCAGGGACGGCGACTCCACCGCCTCCCTGGGAGCCTATTGCCATGTTTAACCACTGATTAGGAAATTGGTGTTTCCTGATGTCCAACCTAAACCTACCTGGGCGCAACTGGAGGCCATTTCCCCGCGTCTTGTCCCTGTCACCAGTGAGAAGAGAGCGCCCCGCTCTCACTGCAAGCACCTTTCAGGTCCTGGAAGGGAGTCGTAAGGTCTCCCCTCAGCCGCCGCTTCCCCAGACTGAGCAGCCCCAGCTCCCTCCTTGATTTCCCCTTTCTGGTCGGGTGTCCATAGAAGCCTTTCTTGTTTTTCTCGGCATCCCAAGGGAAGGTCGGGTCACCCCGGGTTTCGGCTTCCGCGGCCCCAACCCTCCACTTCCTTGCGCTGCTCCCACAGAACCGGTCCCTGATGCCACTGCCTGTGCATTTCCTTCTTATTCTTCAGGTTATCCAAACCCTAAACCTGACAGATCACATCCCTAACCCTAACCATAACCCTACAGATTGCCTGAAGTTTTACTAACCCAAACGCTATTATTTCCTAACCCCAACCATAACTATAACCCTACACCGAACCGAACTCAATCCCTTACGCAAACACTGAACCTAAACTTAACCCTAACAATAACCCAATTCCAAAAAACGGCCCCAAACCCAACCCTAATCTTAACCCTAACCACAACCCTAACCCTAAGAGTGACCCTACAGGGTGACACTCTGGGATGACACTGTGGGTCAGCACAAAGTGACAATATGGGGTGATGTTGCAGGACAATGCTACGGGGCAGCCCTAAGTTGTGATGCTATGGGGTGATGCTGCTGTGCAGCACTCTGGGGTGACGCTGTGGGGTGGCACTGCGGTGTGATGTATGGGACGGCAGTGTGGGGCAGCACTCTGGGGTGATGCTGTGGGACAGCACGATGATGCAGCACTGTATGGTGCTTCTATGGTGTAACGCTATGGGGTGATGCTATGGGGTAATGCAGAGTGCTATAGGGTGACATGGAGCAACGCTATGGGACAGTGCTATAGGGTGACAATGTGGAGCAGTGCCATGGCGCAGAGCCATGGGGCAGCGCTATGGGGCCGCGCTATGGAGCAGCGCAATGGGGCAGAGCTATGGGGCAGTGACATGAGGCAGCGCTATGGGTCAGTGCTAAGGGGCAGCGCTATGGGGCAGTGCCATGGGGCAGTGCCATGGGGCAGTGCCATGGTTCAGTGCTATGGGGCAGGGATATGGGGCAGCGCTACGGGGCCGCGCTATGGGGCAGTCCTATGGGGCAGTGCTATGGGGCCGCGCTATGGGGCAGCGCTATGGGGCAGAGCTATGGGGCAGTGACATGAGGCAGCGCTATGGGTCAGTGCTATGGGGCAGCGCTATGGGGCAGTCCTATGGGGCAGCGCTATGGGGCCGCGCTATGGGGCAGTGCCATGGGGCAGCGCTATGGGGCCACCACACGCGGACTGTGACGGACGAGCAGCAGAACAGCGGCGCTGTGGCGGCGCTGAGGACTCCCAGCAGCACGACGTGAGGCGGCAGCGCTTTTACTGCAGGCCGCGTCCCGAACTCGGGGCGAACGGCGGCCCGGAGCCGCGCAGCGCCCGGCGGAGCTGTGAGCGCGGCCCCCAGGAGCCGCTCGGCGCCCGACGCCGCCCTCAGCGCCCCCAGGCCAGCGCGTGGAGGCGCTGCGCGGCGTCGCAGAGGCGCTGGCGATACTCGATGTCGCGATGCATCCCGGGCGGGACGCCGCGCAGCCCCCAGCGCAGCGCCCAGCAGCCGGCGGCGATGGTGCCGGTGGAGTCGCTGTCCCCGCCGTGCAGCGCCGCGCGGCCGCACAGCTCCTCCCAGCTGCTCCCGGCCGCCAGCAGCGCCTCCAGGGCCACCATGGGCGCGTCGTGCCCGCTGCGTCCCGCCCAGCCGCCCAGCGCCCAGCGCGAGTATTCGGCGTCCCGCTCCTCCGGGGTCGGCAGGGCGGGCACGCGGGGGGGGCCACCGCCCTCCAGGAGCCCCCGCGAGTCCAGGTACCTGCGGGGCACGGCGGGAAGAAGTGGGCAATGGGGACACTGGGCGGCGGAGGGAATGGGGACAGTGGGGGCATTGGGGGCACTGGGGGCAATGGCGACGTTGGGGGAAACGGGGGCATTTGAGGAAATTGAGGCAGTGGAGGCAATGGAGGCATTTGGAGTAACGGGGACATTAGGGGAAACTGAGGCAATGGAGGCATTGGGGGAAATTGAGGCAATGGGGGCAATGGAGGCATTTGGGGAGAACAGAGGGAATGGGGACGCCGGGGACAGAGGTGGCAGGGGCGTCAATCGGGACGTGGTGAGCAGTAGGACACGCTGGGGATTTGGGGTCGGGCTTCGGGGATTTGGCGCGGGTGGCACCGGGAGCACCGCTGTCCCGATAGATGTGGGCAATGGGGACGGGCTCTGCCCCCCCTGCCCCGATGTCCCCAACGCCCCCGTGCCCCGATCGCTCCCGACGCCCCCCCCCGCCGCCCCTCACCGGCGCCAGCTGTCCCCAAAGAAGTCCCACGCGGCGGCGTTTTCCTCCACGTTCAGCCCTTCGCCCTTCACGTAATCCCACGCGTGGGGCAGGACGCGCAGCAGCTCGGCGCCCCACACCTCGGGGGGCTCCCCGCGGACCCCCAGCGCCCCAAACAGCGCCACGGCCAGCGCGCCCAGGTACCCTGCGGGGGGCGGGGGGCGGGGTGAGCGCCGGCCCCGTTTGATGGCATCCCCCCCCTCCGCCCCACGGCACCCACCTGTGGGGTGGTGGTGGGTCATGCGCCCGCTCTCAATGCTCACCCGGATCAGCGTCGGCAGCTCCTCTGGGCGCGGGTACCTGGGGGCAGCCCATAATACCCCGCATCCCATAATACCCCGCATCCCATAATACCCCACATCCCATCGCATCCCATAATACCCCGCATCCCATCCCATTGCATCCCATAATACCCCACATCCCATAATACCCCACACCCCATCCCGCCCCCCATGCAGTGATGCCCCACAGCCCGTAATTTCCCGCTTGCCGCCGCCTGTATCCCACAATTCCCCATCGCATCCCCTGGCATCCCGTCGTGCCCCATATTCCCCCATCACATCCTGCAGCATCCCATAATATCCCATAATGCCCCTCATTCCATAGCACCCCACATCCCACGCCATCCCATAATACCACACCCCAAAGTCCCCACTGCCCTCACTGCCCCCACATCCCACCCCACGTCCCACCCCACAGCCCCCCTCTGCCCCATCGCACACCCCGACCTCAGCCCTATGGCCAGGCTGCGCATGGCCGCCCCACAGCCGGTGCCGGTGGGGTTGAAGGGGATGCGGTAGCCGTGGGGCTCCCCGGGACGCAGCTGCGACGTTCCTGTGGGGCAGAGCGGGGCGGGGCGGGGCGGGGGGCGCTGACCCACAGCTCGTCCCCACAGCTTCACCCCGCAGCTCCGCCCCACACGTACCCAGGATGCTGCTGGGCCCTGGTTTGCGGCCCTCCATGTCCTCCATGGCCGCCACGTAGCGCCGCGCCAACTCCTGCAGCAGCGCTTCGCCCTCCAGCCCTGTGGGGCAGCGCCGCTCAGACCCACAAGTGTGGGGCAGGGGCCCGAAGCGACGCCCCCAGCACCGCCCCACGCATCTGGCTCTGCCCCCCGGCTCCTCGCTCCCCGAGCCACTGCCATCTGTGGGTTCCCTTTTTCCTCCAGCCCCACCTCACACTTATGGGTCTGAGGCCCGATGAGTCCCCACGGCTTCCCTCCTACTTATGGGTCTGTGCTGCCGCCCAGCCCTGCCCCACAGCGATGCTCTGTGCCCCACAGCGATGCTCTCAGCCCCACAGCGATGCTCTCAGCCCCACAGTGATGCTCTGTGCCCCACACCGATGCTCTGTGCCCCACAGCGGTGCTCTGTGCCCCGCAGTGATGCTCGCAGCCCCACAGCGATGCTCTCAGCCCCACAGCAATGCTGTGCCCCACACGGATGCTCTCAGCCCCACACTGATGCTCTGTGCCCCACAGCGATGCTCTGTGCCCCACAGCAATGCTGAGCCCCACAGCGATGCTCTCAGCCCCACAGCGATGCTCGCAGCCCCACACCGGTGCTCTGAGCCCCACAGCGACGCTCAGCCCCCCAGCAGCTCTCACCGCTGCTCAGCCCCTCGGCTGTCGCGAGATGCAGCACGGTGTCGTCGCTCAGCGGCCAGTCGGGGAGGCGCAGCTCGATGCGGCTCAGCCCGCCCAGCTCCCGCAGCTCCTGGTGGATGCGCGCTCCCGCGGTGCAATATTCCCAGCGCCCCGCGCGGAAACCCAGCGCGTCCCCGGCGGCCGCCAGCAGCATCGCCGCCTCGTAGCGATCCGGGGGGCTGCGGGGGCGGCGCGGGTCGGGGGGCAGCAGGGGGTTGGGGGCGATGGGGCCGTTATGGGGTTGG